GGTTTAAAGTCCTATATATGCAAATAGGTGAGCTCAGTCATCAGTGCTACCAAACAAATTAGGAGAAATATACACTAATGAAAACATTATTCAGAGATGACACATCAGTACTTGTGATGATGATGATACTGGCAAAGACAGTGAATAATTAGCCAAAATTATGATGTGTGATTTTGACACTGACGGAGGAGATGAAGCTTTTGAAGTTACTGGTGTACTGTAGGTGGATATAGTCAAAGTGACAGTTCAGATCCGTGAGAGCAATTAAAACCTAACAGAAGCCAGTAAGTCGGTTGGCAGCTGAACACTGTAAGAATAGGTTTAGAGACACTGAACAATATTGACTATTGCTTTATTGCCATCCAAGACTGTTTAAAGGGTTGTCTAGTACACTATCTACGAACGGGTTGGCTGTAAAACCTAATGCATTAATTTGCCAGTTGCCCTGAGCGCGGTCCATCTCCTTTGTTTACAAGGTAGCGAGTTTTGTTGACAAGGGCTTATATTAATTGAGGACATAAATTAATAAAAGTTGGCCTTCATTTTCATCCAATCATTACATGACCAGATTTTTGCAGAGATCAAAAAAAAAGTGTATTAATTTATTCCAGTCGCTTGCAGGGTGATGTCTGTAATCTGAGAGCTTTCTGGGTTGTGAAATGTGGTCAGCAGGGATTTCTGTCCAGCGGGGGATTTCTGTCCAGCTGGCTCAGGAATGAAAGGATGTGGAGAGAGTAAAAGAATCAATATTCTGGTCCATCGTATAGCACGGTCCATCAAATAGCAAGGGAATCCATCTATTTTGGCATAATTTACAACACCTCTATGTTTGTTTATATCGATTCTCTGGACGTTATTGACATCTTAATATTGCAGGCAGTGAGAGACTAATTAAGTCTTGGAGGATTTTCAGTAACAGAGAGAGAAGGATCATCTTTTAAACGCAGGATGTGGTCAGAACTGATAAACACATGCAGATTTATTTTGGCTTCGTCCATCTTCGCCTCCACTTTGTCCTCGCAGTGAAAAATGTGTTTGCAAATTGAGCATTTGGTCTGCCTTGCTGAGGTACTATTATGCACTGTATATTCTCACTAAGAATGGACCAGGATATTGCAAAGGATGATTTGAATTTTTTAGGTCAGCTGCGTAGGAACTTGATAAAAGGCAGAGTGACTGATGTGCAGCGTAGACATTTCAGCAACGCAGAGCCTTCCACAAAGCTCATGTCTGTCAGTTCAGAGTGCTTCTGCTTTTTTTAGCAAAGTTAGCAAACTACTTGTGTACTTGTATCCTTGTACACTTAATATTACCTCTTCAGTATTAAAGCATCAAAGTTGACTTTAAATTATTAAATTTGTGCAAAAATGCTGGGCAAGTAGAAGGTTGCTGGTTCAGTTACAGTCAAACAAACAAATCACCATTGGTGTTTTGTCAGGGAGGACAACCGGGCTAAATCAAAAATGCTGAGCTAGCTGCTGTGCTGACCCCGTCTGGCAAGTGAGTAGCCGAAAGTAGCTTTTATAGTAGGTCTTGATGCATTCTCAATCATCCAGGAAAATAAATCTCCAGACTCAAGAAGTCACTTGGATGAGTGACGAAACGTTTCTCCCAGAAAACGCTACGTCCAGATGAACAGAATCAACTTTTGGAGACTTTTATAGTAGGATTAAGTAGAAAACTCAATACGGCCACAAAACTGCTGTTTGATTGGACCCGATAATCCCAAAGATATAAAAGGGACAAATTCCACAGTATATATAATATGTGATAAGGTTTGTCTTTGTGATGTTTATTATTGCATCAGCAGAGATATTATAGGTAATAATTCTTTACTGTACCTGCTCTAAGTAGTAACTTATGCTAAGTAATATTTGACACTGTTGCAAAGCATATAATCCCCCTTCATTCGTTTTGTTACTCCAGTTTTCAAGATTTAAAGTGGAAGAATAGTATATATCATATACCAGAATGATACTTTTGCTGTTAGTTTTTTCTGTGAATACAGACAGAAAATGTGATGAGGGAGCAGGGGAATAACATTAGGTAAAGGTAATGGGAGTTGACTTGGGGAAGGTGCGACTAAGGGCATTTTGACCATTTAGTATCTTTACCATCTAAACTTCAGTCTAGGATTACTGTATGAAATGGAGATGCTGCAGTGTGAGTCTCTTGAGTTGCTTCTGGGATTTGTGGAGAACAGTATGGCAAGCTACCAGACTGAAAACTACACTTCCCATTTGCCTCTGTAATTTCTGCAGTCATATAGTATAAGTGCATGAGGCCCTCCCACATTATCTCTGTAGCTCTCACAGCTGAATGTTACTGGAAAACATACTTTGAAAGTGCTGGTCATGCTGCACATAACTCAGTACCTCCGCTCACATCTTCGCTCCAAATCTGCTCCAAATGGGTGAGAATCGAGTTGTTCTTTACTGTAATTATTTGATCTTAAGTATACTAAGGCATGACGTTAATGACATAATCTAATAACTTCTGAATTATAATTGAAAACAGGACAGATTAGACTCTGCATCCAGGGTATCTGTTGTAAGCTAGTCTCCATTCATTTTAGCCTCTAAATTGTTTAAGCTCTTAGTAGCCAGATTGCATTTTTATTGACCAGTAAAGTGCTGTGAAATATCCACCAAATCACTAGCGGGATCACAGCAGAGCAGTGATGGTCCTGTTTTTATGTACATTATCTCTTATATAAGCCGACTAATCATTTGCTTATTGGTTTAACTCTGAATTAACATCTCAAACTGCTGAAATGTAGTAACAAGCAATGATAATATATATTAAAACTGTTAGAAAATTAGTAAAGTGTTGCATTGCAAACCTGGTTCAGTGTGTTTCGTATGGTTCAGAAATTTCCCAAAAATGTCCAGCAGTTTTTTTTTTTTATCTTAAAGTTCTGTGTGTGCTAAATTCTCAAGGTGAATTTATTGGAAATTTACTGAATTGAATCTGTCTTTCAGAAGTGGAAAATGTGATGTTATTAATCATTTAAGGTTGTAGAAATGTTTTTAACATCATTCTAGATTACTTGAAGAAAGAATTGCTTGGTTTCAGAATATTGAGCCATTAGAAGAAAGTTGCAGATAAATGAGTGTACATGGAAATCATTTATAGATTTTTTTTCTAGTAAACATTTAAAATAAAATTCTGAACCTGTAAATGAGTATAACAGGGGCACTTTAAAAGTTTGTTACAAACCAGCTACCGAGTAAAGACTAAAAAGAATGGAGTGTTATTAGAAAAATGAAAACATGGATGTTCAGAATGAAACCCATTTTCACTGGCGTGTTGGAAGTGAGAGCCATTGTTGAGATGGCAAAACGTGCTTGGTTAATTACTGAAATGGCAAAGTCCTCCCTTGTGACCTCTCTATTTCCTGAGTGGAATGGACAGTCCATTAGTCCATTTAGAGTTATGACAATCTTCTCAACGTAAACCTCTCAGCTTTGGAGTCTTTATTTTCAACACATATTCCTCCACCATCTCGTTTTTTTTTATAGGTTTGACTGACATAAAGACCTTGTTCATGTAGAGATTTCAAAGACAATTCAACCTATTTTTGTCCATTCACTTTTCCCCAAAATTGATATGGAATATTTTTAAATATACTCCGGACACTGAAGCAGCTTACTTACTAGATTAACAGTAAATTCAATTTTTTTTTTGAGTTTTTGGGGGTTATTGGGATATTTCCATAGGTCATAGTGAATACCTGAGGGTGGAGTGGGGGCAGCTGAACATGTGGTGTTACCTGACTGAATATAGTATACATATGGTATGTATACATACCGTTTACAAGAGTTAAAGGAAAGGGCTGTGCTGTGATTTCTTCTATATTTACTTTTACCTCAAGTTCATAAGTACGAAGACAGAACATCACATTTATTTTTCTCTCACACAAAGCTAAGGTATATTTTCTTACTTTAAAACAAAGGAAAGTAGTGTCCTAATCCCAAAGTGATACTCTGAATATATACCAAATGAAAGCAGTGTACAAAAGAAGAATCACTGGTATTAAAATGAGAAAAATCTGTGTAATAAAAGTCTACCCCATGAATGGCCTTTTGACTCAGACAAGACCCCAGTCAAGATTTTTTTCCATGAAATTTGTACCTGTGTAATTACTGTGTTCATGTTGTTTACATTTTTGAATCTGTGAAGTTATGTATTACAGTATAAAAGAAAAATCCCATTTAAAAACTCATACGTTTTGATTTGTTGTCAGACAAAAATGCACACTATATTATATAAAACACTACAACTTTCAGCCTCAGTAAGAAGAATGTAAGAAAATAATCGACGTAAGACTCCTTCTTCTGCTTCAAATCAAATTGTGCATTTAACCTGTGACCCTTTGCGCGTCAGATCTGTTCATTTGTTAGTGAGTGAAATTATCTGGGTATGTCTCTGTTTGTCACCTCCCTCAGTGTTACATACTTCCTTCTTTTCACGGTCATCTCAATATGGCAACTTTGAGACTGACCCCGAGGATGTGTACACTGACTCCCTGTGGTTTGCATTAAGTGTTCCATCTGTTCTTATGGTTAACTTAATGCTTTTTTATGTCACGTTAACCTCAGATATAACCAGTATCCACTGTAAATGTTTATATTTACTTGCATGTGAAGTTTAATGGTGACTTAATGAAACCTGGTGGAAAGGTCTTGCAGTAAGAAACAGCCACTCAAATATAGTATTTGGTTAAGCTGTTTATTTTATATGCCTTAGTGAAATTCCTAAAAGAATTCTACCTATCTAACATATTGTCACTTTCCACTTTAGCCTTTCTTGCTGCACAACTGATTTAAAATTCTCTCTGAAGTTTGAAATTGGCCCCATTATAACTAAGATGCAAGTAATGAAACTACATTGCAGTGGCATCCTTTTCTTGCTTTTCATCCTTTCCTTCCCTTTCCTGCTTTCTTGACCCCACTCTCTCCTAACCTGTACCTATCTGTGTCCGTGTGTGCTGCGTCCAGGTATCAGGAGGAGTACAGTATGGACTCAACCAATGCCCAGTAAGTCTCTGGCAGCATCATGCTTGCATGGCATGGATTGTGTCTGCAGTGATAACTGGACTGCGAGCACCAAAGCATATACATAAAGCACTTTTCACTGGATTTTGCCTACACCATGTGTAAACATAATGCCATTACTGTGATAAGTTGCAAAGTTGGTAGATGATGCAGAAAGGTCATTCTTTGGCTACCTTTTCAACAGTTGTTGTGGAAAAGATGTTTGGTCCATTTATAGGTTTGCCACATTTGATCATACCACTGTAAATGTTGGAAAGGTAGCTTTCAATAAAGTAAATGCTGGTGTATTTGTTTTTCAACTGAATGTGCACGCCAGTCTTCACCACTTCAGTGTTGTCAATGTCCATTTGTGGGCTTGAAACATGCAACTGTGTGAGCAAATATGACAGAATTCCTAGAAAAACAAAGAGCTAAATATTGTTGAAATGGGGGCTGAAAACACTAACATGGAAATTATTCATGCCTTACTTACCATATAATGTGCATGTTGGTGAGTTGAAAATCATTGAAATGTTTATCATCTTTTAGACCGACCGAGTTGGATGGTCTTTTTTTTTTTTTTTCTTTACCGCAATACCTTTTGGGAAATTGAGACATTTCAGTGATAACTCAGATTTTGGGTTGTGGATGTAGGTGATGGATCATCAATAACGTGGTAAAACCTGAGTATGGAATCTGTAGAATTCCTTCTCTTCTGTCGGTGGTTTTCCTTTAGCTGTCAGAGTTATGACTCGAAATGACAAGTGCAAAGTGGTAAATGCTGGACTTATAAAGACCTTCTGCTTTTAATTATGTATGTATACCAGTCAACAACATTATCGAAACCTTTTCTACAGTTTCACATTAAAACAACACATTTTAATGATATGATCAATGTTATTTGCATCCCCTGTCAGTGGTTATTATTGATGTGACTGACTGGTACAAGTCACATCATGTCTATGCTGCAATTGCTAGTCCTGTTGCAATGAAGTGCTGGGTTCTTTCTGTGTGGGGCTGTAGGTGTGAATGTGAGCGTGAATGTTGTTTTTGCCCCTGATGTTGCTCCTGATGGCTGGAATAGATTCCATCCATGAATTGGATAAGTGGATGTTAAGAAAATGGATGAATAAATGGGGGGAAAAGATTTTCCAGCATATATATATATATATATTGGTGTTTGAATTATTCAGATCTAAAAGTTTGAATAAACAACAACAAATTTATAGTCAGATTATGGTTTATTTATTGAACTTGTAGAGCGATAGAAGAAGTTTGTAGTGTTTATGGGAGCAGTTGTCTTGTCTTGTCCAACATATGAATAATGTGCAATAGCAGCTATGGTTAACCTGTAAATGTAAACACCTGCCAAACAAACGTTGAATTTGTGACACGTCCTTTAACATTATTAATCCTTCAGCAACATTAATGCTCCAACCTTTTACCGACACACCGCAAAAGAAGCTGAAATGTCAAGATCCTCTCTCCTTTGTCAGAAATGACAGGTCATTTGACCTTTAAGGCTGCGGTTTTATTCTTGATTAACCATCCTGTCAGTAAACTGGGAATGGTAATGTCACATACACTTATAACACGGTTATCTGTTCATTTCTTTGTTTTTTCTGACTGTCTGTGTAACAAATGTATATGTTACACTTAATTTAATGAAACCACAGTTAACAGAAAAAATATTTGATTACTATTCATTTTCCTTTGGCTCTTATTGAAAACGCTTGTGTTCAAGAAACACTGGTATTACTTGTCAGCAGCAGACCTTTCAGCTGTGGTTGCTGATAGAATACTTCGTACTGCTGTGTAATGCTACTTTGTTGGCTATGCAGTTGGAGGTTGGGTTGAACATTGTGGGTGTGTTGAGCTATACAGCATGTGTTAACTAAAAAGTGCTTAATTAAAGGCAGTGCATTTTAACACGGTGTTAAAGGATACGCCTTTTAAACTGTATTCACTGTGGGGTGATTGACCTTGTTTCCATGGTGCAGCAGTTGCATTACCCTGGCAACACCATGAGGAATCTTGAAGTCATTTTTAACTAGGATATGTCCTTCAGTGCGCATCATCAATATGTAGCGCAATATCTCCAAAATTAGAAACATTGTGTCTGAGAGTGAAACTAGAAACTAGTATTACTTCTAGGCTGGACTACTGTACTTCCTTATTATGAGGATGTTCTACCTGTACCTGAAAAGTTTTCGATTGATCCAAAATGCTGCAGCAAGAGTACTGACAGGGATTAGAAAGAGAAAGCATATTTCTCCTGTAATGCTTCTCTTCATTGGCTCCCTGTTAAATCCAGAATTAAATTTAAAATCTTTCTCCTTACATACAAGGTCTTAAATAATCAGGCCTCATCTTGTGTTAATGACGTTTTAGTACCATATCACCCCTTTATGGCTCTTCACTCTCAGACAGACTTCTCGTTCCTAGAGTATTTAAAAGTAGAATGGGATGCAGAGCCTTCGGTTTTCAGGCCCCTCTTCTGTGGAACCAGCTTCTAGTTTGGATTCAGGAGACAGACATTATCTCTAGTTTTAAGATTAGGCTTAAAACGTTCCTTTCTGATAAAGCATATAGTTGGGGTTGGATCAGGTGACCCTGAATCCTCCTCCCTTAGTTATGCTGCAATAGGTCTAGGTTGCTATGAGATCATCATGATGCATTTAGTGTTTTTTCTTTAATTACCTTTTTCACTATGTTGTTTATACATTCTGCATTTCATATTTGTTATTATTAATCTGACCTTGGTTCTGCTGGAGATTTCTTCCTGTTAAAAGGGAGTTTCTCCTTCCCACTGTCACCAAAGCTCTTGCTCATAGGTGGTCATATGATGATTATGGTTTTCTCTGTTTCCTTTGTATTATTGTAGGGTCCTTACTTTACAATATAAAGCACATTGAGGCAACTGTTGTTGTGATTTGGCACCATATAAATAAAATAAAATTGAAGCTGACGCAGTGCAGTGGTTACTTAACCATTTCCTTCAATGATTACAATTTAATGAAATATTAAAACAATATTTAACTGTATTTTTATTTGCCTGTGAAACATTTTCATACAATTCTCGCAAAGGAGGGAAATTCATGAAGTTAGTATTTCCTCTACAAAAAGACATTAGGGTATTTTGACATTATTTCTTTTTTTTTTAAATCCAACTCATGAATAACTTATTTTTTTTTTTACTATTTTATGAATTAGACCCTTCTGTGGACTTTAACATCACCCCAGTGCCATTATCCAATCTGACAACCTTGTGCTTTTAAGTCTTATCCAGGCACTGAGGTCTCTGCACTTTTTACAGTGCTAAGCCTTAAACTCGTTACTTCTGTAAATCTGGAGTTTATGCACATTCTGATTCTTTCATAGAAAAGGATTATCAAAACTCACACATGGAGGCTAGATCTAAATTATTTCTGCACTTGGAGCACTTGAGAAGTACCCTGTTAAAAACCTCAACATTTTGTACCTTTTTGTTTTCTGCGGACAAAGGAACATCTCTTTTATGTGACGTCGCTTTTGTTTTATGAAACTATTCGACAAACAACATTGCTACAATGCTCTTGAAATATTCAGTCAAGAGGAGGATAAATTTGGTTTTACAAAACCAGCACAGTCAGCACAGGCAGCAATCTTAAAGCTGCACATTTGTGTCAGAACTCCTTAATAAACCTTGAAAGACATATGACAGTTGCTTTGAATAAGCAGCTTTCAGATGCCTATTTAAGGCTTCACTGCACTAATGTTTGCTCATACATTCATAAGTATTAGGAACAAAACCATTCAGTGTAATCTGGTTCCGTCAGTGGTCCACACCACCCACGCTCATGTGCAGCAGCTTACAAGTTGTACATATCCTATAGACAACCAGAAATCACCATCCCTGCCCTTTCATGTTTCCCTTGTCTATCCACTGAACACACAGGTCCTATTAAAGTAAGCGAGGAAGGCTTCCCCTCCAGATGATTATGACACAAACACTTACATATCCTTCTTGAGGATTATGGATTCAGTGTCCATTTGATAAGCTGCCTTCACAGTTAACACAGTCGCGTCTGAGCTGAAGTCCATATTCATAATCTTTGCACTATAATAAGGCTTTGGAAAAGTACCTGCAACAATTGGGAAGTTTTGAATGCTTCAGAGTGATAGAAGTAGAGAATAACAAAGAAGCCACTGCTTTTTATTCGAGGAGTATTTTTAGAAGCCTTGCAGCGTTTATATCAGGAACACTTTAGTGGGAGGTGAATAGGACATTTTCTATTTTCAACTCTTTGCTTTGTCAGAGGGGCAGCAGAACAAAGCCGCCATCAGAAAATCTAAAACTGTATTAAGGCTGTGATGTGAAAGATTGTTTTTTTTAACACCGTTTACAGGTAAGATGCATCATTAATGGTCTGCATAGTGATTCTGTGGACTGGTTATCATCAGAAACCTTGAATTAATGGGTCGCTTCACTAAGGCTGCCTGATTGGTCAGGGATAACCGAACTGATGCGTTACAGATTTGTTTCTTTGCAACTAGTTGCAACTGGCAGACTGCAAACTAAAACATACAAGGCAAGGTTGCTGTTGATTGGGCTCTGCAATAGATGCAGAGCATGCAGCATCTGAGTACCATCCTAGGACTGATATCTGTTGTAGGCTCCTTCTTGAGTGACTATAATGACCCCCATTGTCTTGTTGTGGTGTTTGCCCGTGCTTGATTCTGCAAAACCCTCACACATATTCCATATGGCGCAGAGCATCTGGCGGCTGTTAGACCGAATTTGTTTTTTGTTCTTTTTCTTTTTTTTAATCTAGAATGAGCATGGGGCTTTGAACAGATCTGTTCTGCCCATCTGATTATCCCGAGGTCAACAAGCTGTTTGATGTTTATTTGCATGGTCTACAAAGCAGTTGTAGTTCAGTGTTTCACACGAGGAGCTCATAAAATTGTAATCCTGTCACAGGCAGCGGTCACGGTAAACAGCATTTGTATTTGTGTTTGTTTGTGTGTTGGTGTGCCACCTCAATACTATACATATATGTATATATATTAGTGTTGAAGCTCTATATACCGTAAAGAGTTGTTAGTTGAGGACTCAAGGTCATATGATGCATCTATCCTATGTGTGAACAAAGGGACTGCATCTTCTTAAAGTTATTGTCTGTTGTGAACACTGTGTGACTCCATGGATATACAGACTACTAATCATCTTACCCTACAGTCATTGGTGGTGGTTGTTTGTAGACTCGAGATGCCAAAGGAAAGAGAGTATGTACTTGAAAGGTATTGCTGTTGGTTTACAGCTCCTGGCAGCCACCTTATGTGTAAGAAGACCTTTTTGTACCCTTGGTCAGAAGTGTTTTATAAGCACGATAAAAGGTAAGGACAGCAAATGTTTATCCTTGTGTATTATGTGGACAGAAATAAGTGTGATGAGAAGTGCTGTAAGGCCATAATTTTGACTGGCTAGTTTCTAAAAAATGCACAGAGACAAAAACATCCAGCTGTTGGCAATTCAGTAATTTATAGCTTCTTATTCATGTCCATCACTTGATCACTTTGTTTCCGTTTTGTGAACGTGTTGACCACCAAACATGTTTGCAAAACTGTGATTCAGAAACAGTATTTTTTGCTTTTTGTGATAGGACCATAGCTTAGAACTGTATTCTGAATCTTTGTCAGTAAAATATTGTTTATATGATTCAAATGACTGAAATTATAGAACAAATGCACAGTTTTGAGACTATTGAATGTTGGGTTAAGTCATTTTTAAATATAGTCTCAGAAACTTTATGACATGGAAATTGAGAGCCATTGGTCTTAAGAAAGTAATGGAAAGCTAGAGCCATATGCAAGACATGTCTGAATGGCATATTGAAGTCCTAGTTGTTGACATATTTCTTGTTGTGTACTTTGTATAGCAGAGCATATACAAAATCAACTTTTCTTCCATCCAAATCCAATCCAAATCCAAAATACTTTATAATGTCCCCCCAAACTACAGTTTCTTCTCTTTCTTAATAACTGAAAATGCTCTGCTACTAGAAAGAGGTATAAATACTTACATGAAAATCTGATCTATACACCCACCTTTACCTGGCATGTTTTAGCTTACCAAACAAAAGCAGCTGCAACAGATTTATATAACACATCAGATTACAGTTACTTAGATCATTTTCCAGTATATTTATACATTCACTGGATAACATGACGTCGACCCTTTTCTCCCTTTTCACTCATCTCCATCTTTGGATATCTTTACCTTTAACCACTTTGCCTCCGTTAGCCTCCTTAAAATGTCCATGTTCAGCTGGGTGAAGGTGATTTAAGTGTCTGATTAGGTTTATTGTTAGGAAGTTTTTATGATGGTCCCTCCATGATTTTATTTGGTGAAGTTTGTCTTCCCTCCAAGTGAGGAGCTTCCATGCTAAAGACATGTTTTTATGTGGATGTAAATATGCGTGACAATTTATATGCACCACAGGACACATGTTGTACATGCATGAAGCAGGCCGGCTCAAAATCAGAAATGCCCAAAGCCAAGATTGCTGGAAATTGGTATTTTCCGGTCCCTGGCTGGTCGATTGCTGTGTCTGTAGTATTTTCAAGAAACATAAAACTTAAATAATCAAGTAACCTAGAATTAAAACTTTGCGGCCTTTTCATTTGTAAAGGAGCTACTCTCTGTAAAGAATGTATTCAATTTGCTGCTGGGCTTTTTTTTCTGTTAAATTAGTAATTCCCAAAGTGTTCAGTTAAGTATTAATGTACTCAGTTTGTGTTTTCCATTAGTCGTGTCTTAAATCAAGATTTAAGTTTTATAAATAAGTAATCAGTCTGTAAATCCACAAATTTTATTTTCCTTACAACAATTCATGGTTGGCTTAGGTTTTGCTCTGTTCACATTTCGTCCATGTGCTTATAGGCAACAGGGTAAATAAAAGGCCCTAGTAACTTTCATTCAACTTTATAAGTTCTTTTACAGCTTCTTAGGTGACCGATATAAGTGAGTGAGATATGTGTGTGATGGAGTCTGTATGGATGGGCATTTGGAGATGATGGCTTCTACATGTGTGTCGGTGTGTGTATTTGGCTCTGTCTGTCTCCAACTAATTCCTCTTGCGAGGAAAGCATGCCACACAGACACGTGAGTGAACATTTCCTGCACTGAAAACTGTCTCTATGGCAATACAGCCGGAAGGAAGAGAGAGGGGATTAGCTGGAAAATGGCTCATATCATGTTCTTTCTCCTACCTACACTCTTTATCTACACACACATAGTCCCTTTGGAGTAGGCTGCTGTAATTGCCCGCTTGCTCGCTTCTCTCCTCCCTTGTCTTTTCGCACCCTGTATTCATCTTGTCAGACAAGGTGGAAAGCTGCAAGGGTCCCTGCTGTGACTGTAAGACCATTATTACTTTCCCTTCATGTTCTTTAGTGACAACAAGCTCTGTATATTGCTGAAATGGGCAATAGGCCTGGCTCATTACCTTCAATTGTCTAACCTACCCGCAGTTCTGTAGCTACGTCCTCATTCATGCTTAAGTGATTGTTTGGTCCATTATGTCTGCTCAAATCTTTAACAGTTTTGCATGTGTCATAGTAGGTGTGACCACTTAAAAAGCATTGATAAAGTGCTGTAGTTTTTAATAGGGAGAAAATTGTCAATTATTATTGGAAGCTTCTTTTTGTGCTGTATATAAAGCGGGCTATCCACTTGTATTCTCTCTTATTTATGTGAAGAAATAAGGCTAGACCCCAGAGGTACTGATTGTCTCTCAAATTGTAAACAAGGTTTCAGAGTGCTGAATGTGTTGGCACTCTTAAAAGTCGCAAATAAATATTACAAATTTTATGAAATGTTTAGAAATATTAAGCAATTAGAAATGATTCAGTCCTATTTTGCCCTTTTCACAGAACAAATTAGTCAATTTGAATAAATATCTCACTAAAGTAATTTTAAAAAATACTTTAAAACAAAGTATTTCTCTGAATGTGGAGAAGTTTCGCAGTCGCTGTCGAGAGAGTGTCAGTATATTTACATAAATCTTCATTAATGACTGCAGATGCTGTACGTTTGAATTTCAAGTTAGATGTGAATGTGCTTGTGGTCAATATTGTTATTGTACATGGCAGACAGTAAATGCTGGGTAACAGAATTAGTGAAAATAATATACAGCTTATTCTAAGTCTGTATAGATTTGCATGTGATCTGCTGGCTGGAGTTTACTGGAAAAAACCTCAATTCTGTTGACAAGAAGTGAAAAATCACAATAAAATGAAACGTATGAAACATGAAGACTTCTGGGAAATGTCACCATATTGTTACTGTTTTCTTCTATGCTTGACCTTTCTGCATTGTCCCCACAGGGTTCAGGTAGAGTTCTATGTGAACGAAAACACCTTCAAGGAGAGGCTAAAGCTTTTCTTCATCAAAAACCAAAGGTCAAGTAAGTAACCATAAACTATGCTATCTTTTAGAGTGAAAATGGTAAGCGGCTTGCTACTGCTAGATACTTTCTGAGCCAAATGAACAATAAGTGCATTTCCACTTTGTGTCTCAGTTGGGGCTTTTGTTATTACATTAGCTGCCTCATTGTTGGGGTTTTAAGTGTTCAAGCTGTGACCCAGCGTGGACAGAAGAGTATGGCTCATTTGTGGAGAGATGAGGCAGAGCTGCAGTGTTTTTCTCATTAGGACATGCCACATTGTCTCTAAAAAAGACACTGGCATGACTCAGCAGTTTGGTGCACTGTGTCTGGAAGCTGTTCATTTGCATGTAGTTGTAAAAATGTACACTATGGAAACTCTCCCATATGTAGTTGGACATGTCGTTACCGGGTCCGTGACGCTGGCTCTGCTTTCTTTCTCTCAGCTTGTTGTTGTCACTAGGCCGCCATAGTCTTTGACATAAAACAGCAGGTTTTAATGAAAATGTCACATGGTGCTGCGGGGGTCTTCTGCTCTATTTGTTGTTTGTTTGTCTGCCCTGTTTCTAACCTTTTTAACACTGACGCAGGCTTCATCGCAAGGGGTCGTGTCACTAGGGATTAGCTAACTCGCTGGCTGGATGACTGACTGGCTAGCTGACACTGCTACATTTAAAAAAGCTTCTGTCATCTTCTGCCAGGCTTTAGTTTTTATGTGTATTATTTAGTGTTGTATGTAGCAGGTTGTATGTGAGTTTATCAGTACACTTATGTCCACAAAAAATTTGTGATTTCATAAATATTATTATCGCTGCTTTGTAATCCTTCTGCACATTGTTAGCATACAAAAAGGCTAGTGTTATTTTTGTGTTCTTCTTGAAGGATTTGAAGGATGTGTGTCATGGGAAATCTGGTCTGCCAGGCTGCTGTAGAGGCATGGAAATGTATTAGTTATGGTTCAGGGATAAAAGCATTTTATGCACCCAAACGACCACAATTCGAGCAGTAGCAGTTCACTATGATGAAGAGAATTTGCTGGATTTGTTGTTAACAGCAGTCTCTGTTTGAACTTCAGACTGCAGACAAAGTGTACACAAAAAAAGAGTGGGAAAAAGTCAACACAGAGCTTTAAGTCTGAGCCTGTGAATAATGTGAAAAGATGTAAGCAAGCTCATCTTTAAGTCACTCAATTTACGCTCCAGCTTTTTGTTGTTGTTGTTGCTCCACAGGCCTGAGGATCCGCTTGTTCAACTTCTCACTGAAGATTCTCACCTGTGCCCTCTACATATTAAGAGTCAGCTTGGAAGATATGAAGGAGAAAAATGGGAGCCCATGGTGAGAGTGAGACTCTACCTCTCCCTATTCAATCACTGTTCCTATTCCACTTGTACATAGTAATTCTTTTTTATTAAAAATCAAAAATGGAGGATAAATAAAAGCTAGAAAAGAAGAAAAAGGGTGATAGTCATGTCATCACAGGGTAAGTAAATGTTAAAGCAGTCCTTCCAGATACTCAAACTCTACCGCACAAAAAACATTAAAGCTGAGATAAAGTGAGTGAGATAAAAACAAAGCCATGTATGTGTAATGTTAATTTATTAGTCCATCACTCCCTCTGTTATCTGGCTTCACAGAGCCCAACATCAGCTGTCATAACCAAAGCCTGTTATTAACAGGTCTGCACATTAGGAAAAGTGTATTTACAGCATTTTAATCTAGCAATTCCAAACAATTTCCAAAATATTTTTTTTGTTTTCCAGGTGTAGAAAACAGTAAATGTAAGTAACTGCAGCGTGATGGCTTAGCGCTTAGCCCTGTTTCCTCATAGAGGATCCTTATTTCAGTGGCTGGTAGGGCCCATCTGTGTGCAGTTGCCTCTGGGGACTCACAGATAAACATGTTAGGTTAGTGCTGCCTGTACTGGACTATAACAGACTGGCCAATAAGATTCTTCATCTCGAGGGTTTCACTGAAGGTTGTCAGGAGAGCATAAAGCATAAAGGATACAGTACCATGAAGTATTTGCCACTTCCTAATTTCAGGGAAAAAAACAAAGAAATCAGGGAAAGGGCAAATGCTTTTTCTCGACACTGTAAGTATATGTGAAATATTCAGTTTTTTACTTTCACAACAGTTATTTATTTTGTAGTGATTATATAATTTTACTCATGTTGTGTGCGTGTTTATATGAACAATGTGAAAAAGTTGCTCATCCTATGCAGTTATGTGGATGTTTGATTCCCAGTAGACGTGTTTCCACCCATTCAGACGTTCAAACTGTTACTCTGTTTTTATCTTTTCCTTACTCCTGTCCGTGATACAGTGCAATGAATCGAAGCAATGGTTGGAATGATACATCGGAGCCACCACAAATCAAATGGTATGTTCATGTTAACATGGCACTTCGTAGTAAAATTAGTGGTGCACAATAGTAAGGTTGATAATAAATGCAGATGCAGTGAAGTGTGAGTAAAAGTTTCACATTGTTTGTGACAGGGAACGCATTTTCTGGGTGAACAGACGAGAGTCTGTGTGGGCAATACAGGTGAGCATAATACTGTTTCTGTGTGCATAAATCAAATTCTATTCCATGAACTCTGTCTCAATGCATAATTCAGCCCAAAAACACCACAAGCCATTTATTAGATAAAAACACTGCAGAGTATGGACGTTCCCCGCTGAAGGCCGAGAAGAGTCTGCATTTGCGGGGTTCATTTATCTTTCTCCCTTTTGCTCCAGGTGACAGTGGCCTTAATCAGTTTTTTGGAGACTATGCTTATCACATATCTCAGCTACAAGGTAAGAGACTGACTCACACTACAAATTTTATCTTTTTAATTCTTATTGTCCTTATGCAGCTTCTTGATCTAGGTCCAACACTTTGTTTCCTGCCTTGCGAACCAACAGCTTTCACTTTCCAGCCTCATTTACATTCCCCAAAGACATCCCCATCACAGAACCAGCAGTCTTTGCTGCAAATTATAAACTCAAATATCTAGCACACTGTCTCAGAAAGAAGTTGAGATAAAGGCTCTACAGAGCTTAAAGTGCCGTTTGTGTTTTGTCTACAAACACGTCACAGAAAGATGCATCACAAATGTATTTAGGTCTGATTTGCGAGCCTTGCCAACCTTAGCATTGATTTGCTAAAACTAAAGTTGCTGGAACTCTACCAGAAGGTTTAAATATCATTTTTCTCAAAGTTATTCCCTTGTGTGGTGTTTTGATGATGTTGGAGGGTGCGATCAAGCACATCCACCTAAAACCTCCCACAGAGGCTCAGCTGAGTGCTCATTTTCATATTGATCAAACCATTAAGTGAGCGCTGGTACCTTATGAGTGGTGATGATATGGTCATTTAAAGTGATCACTCCCATCAGGAAAACATTTTTTTTTATCGTAGGATAACAATGATCACTTATTGTACTGGTTTTTCAGCTAATCTTCTCTCCCTGAATCAGCCGAATGCCACAGAACACAATCAGTTCCCTTAGCTGTAGCTGTCAAGAGTTTAGGTTCAGGTTTCCTCAAATCTGTGACACATCTGAGTATGCAGATGTCCTTGTGCATGCAAAAGGAGGATTGTGCACATTGCAAGTAAAATATCAAAAATATGTGTTAGTGAAATGCACGGTATATAGAAATACAGAATATCTGATGGCAGACAGAATATTTGAAACATCTTACAATCAACACAAACATATCTTCATAACAGACCATTCAGTTAGCTGTAATAGCTCTTCTCAGATATTTATTGAATTGAGCAGCATCACATGCTGTCCATATTTTTTCTTTATTTTTTCATCTGTTAATGTATTTAGAAATTAAGATTTTAGGAATGAACACACTATCAGTTTGGATTTGAACATCTCCCACAGCTTTCCCTGACTCTGAATCTAAGTTGCACCATTGCTTTCAACTCCTGTTGAGATCCTCAGATGTTTGCAATCGGGTTTATTACACGCAGTCTTTATCTTCTTCTTTCCTTCAGTTCCATTGAACAGGGTTCCTACTGCTTTTACTTTATGAGTCACACATGCCAATGTTAAATTTTGTCCTCAGATGGTGAAGCCTTTGAAAATATTATGGTTTTCAGATACTTTTATCTTAAACTGCTGC